GGTGTGTAGCGGAAGGTGACACACTAAATGTGATAAATTGGTGTAGAAGGACTTGGAGACCTCCATGGGCTTTGAGATCTTTATGGCTACAGGTGTTTGATTTAATGGATGGATTGCATGTGGAATTTCAGCATGAGTGAAGTGCATGATGTAATTCGAGATCATTGCCTTTGTAATTATCTATGTTTTTTTGCTTTATGCTTTTCCTTTGCGTTGAATTGAATTGAAACAAAGGGGAGAACTTCAATATAGAAGAGGAAAGCAAAATAAGGAGTTGATAAGGATTCAGGATTCAGTCTCACTTGATTTATGATGTTTTAAAAAAATCGAGGAAATTATAAATTTGGATAAGCCATCCATACACCCCCCACATGGGAGAATCAATACAGCTACCTTTTATTTTTATGATACCCCTACAACATAAAACTCATATACTTCCCCTTATCCAACCAACTAATGTGAATGGAGGGCTAAGATTGCCCCAATCCTGCATTATTTTATTTTTAATATTTTGTTTATTTTTAATATTTTTTATATAAATTCTTTTCATGTCAAATTTTGAACGTCCATTCCTCTATTAAACAAGCACTTGTAAAAAATGTTCTCAATAAAATAAAATAACAAAAATACCCTTGAAAGCTTCAAAGGGTATTTTGGTTATTCTATTTTATTGAAAAATTATTTTTAATATTTTTTTTATAGGTGCTCCCCAATGTCATACAATTTGTATAAAAAAATTGAAAAAAAAATACTATAAAGCATCAGATTTAAGATGAAATAGTGAGTGGCTCCCTTGATCAAAATTGAAGGGCTGGATGGTAGAGAAGCATAGATTGTCTATACTGCAGGGGAAGTAAACTTTTCCCATGAAAAAAAGGTATCTTCTACGGTTATGACCTACCAACACCCACTTGCTTATTGGCCAGTTGACACCAAAATGCCCAAATTTGTCACCTTGTTAAAATTAATAAGAAAAAGCGTGATTTAAAATTTATTCATTATTTTGTATTTCATAGTCATATTCCCATAAATGAGATTCTCAGCTCTTAAAATTTGAATCCAAAATCCATGACTAGAATGGGTTCTGCAGGGGAAATGATGTAAATTGGAATCCAAAATCTTATCCATCTATATTTGTTTAGAGCGAGAAATCAAGAAGATATCAAATCAGAGATTTCTTGATCTATCGCTATAAAACTAGTTAATTAAATTTGATAGAGATGTATGGGAATGACCAAATTATGATTTAAAACTAATTAACCTCGAAATCTCAATTTCTCTTTAAATTGTTGGCAATGCTAGTATGATATTTTCGCCAAAATAAAGAAAACTTATTTTAAAATTAAATTTACCTAAAATAATGAAAATAACTAAAATTAAATAAGAGAAGGAAAGAATGTTTACTTGCCTAAGCCGGTTGGCCCAAGACGCCTGAAGTTGGTGGTGCCCTTCATTTTTTCTCTTTGAAATTGGTTGACTTTTCACTCAGTTGGAAATCTTGGCTATGGTTGATTGAGAGATGTTAAAATTGAGTCTAGGATTTTGTAGCTTAGATATAAGGTCACGGCTTCTAGGATCTAAGGTTTAAAAACTAAAACTCTAGAGTAAAGTTAAGAGGATGTAGGCTAAGGTTTTATTATATGGGATTTGGTTTAAAAAACTAAAGTTTTGATGTCTCGATGGTTAGGCTTCCTACTTTGAGATTTTTTCTAGGAAATAGGTCTCTAGATCTCAAGTTTTGTCACCTCATGAATGACAAAAATCGCAATTTTATACGTGCTTCAAAAGTCAATTCTAGTCAGTTCTAAGTTTATTGAGAATGATTCCCAATGGATTTCTATAGAAAATTTGAGTTTATCGGATCAAGATGTCTTGACACCACAGGTTTTAAGTTGATTGGGAATGATTCCCAATGGATTTCTTAAGAAAATTTGAGCTTATCAGGTCAAGAGGTCTAGACGCCACAAATTGTAGCATTTTCAAACTTTTGGTCTGAAAAGCACAAATGTGGGGTTTAAGACAAGGTCACCTAATTTTTTGAGATTTCACTACTTTTTTTGTTTTTTTATCCAAATTTCGTATTATCTTGATCGTACTTATTCCAAAAGCTTCTATCTAAGTCGGTTTTCCTATTTTCTAATGTTTAGGATAACTTGCTAGATTTTAAAATGGTTTTCTAAGATTTTAGGATTATCTTGGAAATTCCCTAGGATATTCTAAAAGGTTGAGACCATGGTCCAAGGGACTATGGACCATAGGAAAAAGTAGATTATGGTGTATTTAGGTAAGATGGTCCCTAAGGGTCTACTAGGCATTTCTAAGACATTTTTGAGGATTTAAAAAATAAAAAATGAAAAAAATAGCCAAATTCAAAATAAGGGGTCTACAATATTTGTTAAGATAGTTTTAGGGTTTTTACATTTGGAACAACCTTTTTTTAGGGTGAAGAGCAACTTTAACTGATCTAAAAAAAGTTTATATAAGGTGGCAAGGAGTTGACACTGTCTTAAAAGACGCATCATTTTTTGGCACAGACTTAAAAGATGTGTTGGAATCTATACCGTTTAGCTTAAAAGTTGTGTTAAATTATACTGTCCAACTAAAATAAACAGTATAAAATATTATAATCTTATTTCTGCAAGTAATGATGTATACCTTTTATAAATGCACCCAAACAAAATTTAAAAGATGCAGTTTCTATAACGCACAGGCCTTAAAAAAAAATGTAAAACCTTACTTCAAAATCTCATAAAAAAATGCAGTTTCGACATTTGAAACCCTACGATGGCTTGGAAATCTACTTCCCTTTGATAATAAAATTTGACCCTCCACAAATAGTGGAGAACTTGCAATCTATATACACCAGAAAATAGAAAGGCTTAGATAATGCATTACAAGATATATTATTTTTAAACTTGGAATCTTTATTTTTTCTCACATCCATATAGTCAAGATCGAGATCATTAATTTGAGGATTTTTAGGCTTTACTTTTTAAATAAAATGTAGGCATTATTTTAACATTTTCCAAAATTTTAAACCATGTATCATTAGAATGAGTTATTTTTTAATAAATTGCTAATAAATAGAATGGAAATGGTTAAAATAAAACACAGGTTTTATGAAAAAGTTAAGGAGCATCTCAAATCTTATAAAAAATTGATGTTCCAATGGTAGAAAACCATTCAATTGATCATCTCGACCTTGAACATTATGAATTTGAAAAAAAAAAAAAAAAGCTTAAATAGTATATGTTGTAACACATTATCTAGCTATCGACTTTCAAGCAGTCATGGATAGCGGTGTCAACGGGTCAGGTCTAACTAGACCTGGACCCAGACCAGAATAGTATTCGGGTCTAGGTTTTGGACCCAGACCCAACCTGCCGGCTCCAAAAGTTGGACTCATACCCGAACTCATCGGGTCCTGGATCTATCCTGTTGGGTCTCGAGTCTAGTCGCGTCCATTGCCACTTTCACTATGAGCTTCTCCTTCTTCTTCTTTCTTTTTTTCTTTTTTTTTTTTTCTTGCCATTATATTTCAAGCCAGTCTTCTTTATCGTTTAATAGTTAAAGATGACTACAAGTTCTCATTGTATACGATCCTTATTGCACCCAAAAGAATTAAACTTGAAGTATTTTATTTCCAATAGTTTATGGGTACGGGTACAGGTACGATCCAACCAGGACTTGGATAGTGTTCAGGTCCAGGTTTTGGATCCGGACCTAACCCGACGGGTCCAAATGTTAGACCCATACCCAACTCGACGGGTCCAAATGTTTGACCCATACCTGGACTGGTGTTGGGTATACCCGGTGTTGGGTATACCCGAAGGGTATGAGGTCCATTGCCATCCTTAGTAATGGATCCACAAGATTTGTATTCTTTTTTGAGCTACAAATCTTATGACTAATAATAAAAAAACATTTTGTAGCCATCACTAAAAATTTTCATACTAGATTTTAGAGCTTTCGTAGAGTGTTTTCTAAAGGGAAAAGTTTATATAGAGCCGAAGCTCTAAACAAACAAATTAGAGGCTACTTCAAAATTTTCAAGGTGTTGTTTTGATGCCTAAAACATCCTCAAATAGATTATCTCAACATCAACATACATGAACATGAGAAAAAAATAGATTTCAAGTTTTAAAAATAGCGTATTTTGTAACGCATTTTTTGACCGTCAATTTTCAAGTTTTCATAGATATTTCGATCTACACTATTTTTTAAGCTTTAACATTTATAAATAAAGATAGAAAATATATTTAAAAACCATCACAAAAATTTCCGGTATTGAAACTAGACACTATTTGAAGGTAGGAGGCTCAAATTTGATTATTTAGAGCCTAGGCTCAATAAAAACTGCACCCTTTTCTAAATAAGGTTACGAGGTGAGACTTTCGCTTCTTCTGTTTTTTTTCCATAAGTCGTAGGTCTAATAGAAACCTCAGCCGAAATAGAAATTGCCAAAACAAGGTTACCAAGGAGAAACTTACGTCTTTAGGTGTTAAGAGGGTTAAGCTTCTGACTCCTTGTTATAATCTCGAAAGCGATAAAGAATCTCAGGTGTCCAAAAAAAAACCCCTAAACGACGCCCCACCAAATCAAAACCGCTCGATCTCTCCCCCTTCAAAACCACCAATTTCCCCTGCTGCCCAAAACCGCTTATCTACTTCACACCCCTTCCCCTGGGAAGCCAAAGACAAAAACTAATTGGGCACGGCACCAATCCCTTCTCCTTGAAATCGCCCCAAACCGCATCAAATACTCTCATTTTGGGGCTCTCCTAACGCCACAAAACCACCTTTTGACTCTCCCAAAATCCCTCGACTCGCACCCAAATACCACCAGCAATTCCTGAATTGTCAAGTTTTTTATACCACAACAGGAGACTGAACTCACAATAGGAGATTGGCCTCCATTTCAAGATTCATTTCAGACCTCTCTCGCTTTCTCTCTCTAAGATTCCTTAACTGACCTCCCTCTCTCTCTCTCTCTCAGAATAATCCCATAAATCACCTTCTCTCTCTCTCTCTCTAATTTCAGACCTCGCGTCTTCTCTCTCTCTCTCTAATTTCAGACCTCGCGTCTTCTCTCTCTCTACCCGAACAATCCATCCCTCTAGACTCTAGCACAACTCCCTTTTCTCTCTCCTCTCTCATGGGTGCAGTGAAAACCCTAATCTTCACGTACGGCACCCTAAAGCGCGGCTTCGGCAACCATTGGCTCGTCGACGAGCTGACCAAGCGTGGAGACGTCGAATACAGGGGCGTGTGTCAAACGGCCGAGAAATACCCTCTCGTGTGCGGCCCCTACAACGTCCCATTCCTCATCAACGAGCCCGGTCACGGCCACCGTATATATGGCGAGCTCTACGCCGTATCGGAGTACGGCCTGGGGCGTATGGATGAGCTCGAGGGCACGGGTAGGGGGCACTACGTGAGGCGGCCGGTCTTGCTTCGGAGTGGCTCCGAGCCTGAGGTGGAGGTTCGGGCGGAGGCTTACTTTGCGGATGAGAGCTACGGTGGCGAGCTGTGGAGGAGGTGGGGGCGGGTGGGCCTCCCTCTCTACTCCGAGAGCGAGGCTGAGGGATACGTCAGGAGGGGGGCGAGGCCGCAGGGGGTCACTTTCCTTGAGGCCGTACACGCTTTCATCAAGGAAGAGGCCGGGGTTCATTGATTGTTTGAATCTCTCTCTCTCTAGGAAGAGGCTGGGGATCCTCATTGATCATTTGAATCGTTCTCTTCATTGATGTTTGGAAAAATCTCTCTCATTGATCATTTGAATAGGATCTCTCTCTCTCTCTCTCTCTCTGCATTGATCTTTGGAAATCTCTCTCTCTCTTTTGATGCCCACAAACGAATGGCGTGGCTATCGCTTTGTTGAAATTGTATTTTACTTGCATATAACTGGTCCTCGTTTGAGTGGTAATATGTTTTTATTTTCTTTGGGGAAATTTACCTTAGGGGAAAGTATACAAATGAGACTATTTATCTTTAGAGTTAGTTGTTTGAACAATACCACATATACCTCACGTTTTAATATTACTTGTTTTCCAAAACAAACTCTGGTTCAATATTATCAATTCAAGACCATTTTGATCTATGCTCTTTTTGTAAGAAATCAATGCAGTTTGGAAAGTTCCGAACCACTTTGATTCTTGACCAATTTAAAATTAAAAAAAAAATGCTCCGGTGTTAATAGTTCCTGATCAATTTGATCTATACTGTTTTAGCTACGAATCAAAGGTGGACCGAAACAATCAATTCCAAGCTACATTGATTCATTAAAATGAGTAATTTGGAAATAATAGTTTAAGACCACGTTGATTTATGCTTTTAGTTAAAAAACAAACCAGCTCATAGTAGTTCTAGAGAGTTTTGATTCCTTATAACAAGCTATTTAAAAATTGAAACTAATATTTTTGGAGGGGCCTTTTTCAGGAAAAATAAAAAAAATGAAGAAAGAAAGACATGAGCATAAAATGTACCTTTTTTTTTGTTTTTGGGTAATTAAAAAAATGTAACATATTGGATACAGTTTTCTTCAATACCTTAAAAATTATGGGATATCGGTGTAAATTTCCCTTTCTTTAAAGGGGAGTATTCCATATTTGGATGTGCACCAGGAACCTCGGTTAATCTCAACCATCCATTTGAAAAAGAGAGTGGAATATACGCATGGTGTACTACATACCCTTGCGTGTTATGCGGACTCCATATTTTACCAACAGAAAGATGTGCAAATTTTTGCCAATTGATCATAGAGCAATATCAAAGCGAGTACTAGCTGTAGCCCCAAATGAAATACCAAATTCCCTTGTGTAGGTTTTTCACAGTCAAAAGAAAAATTCCAGTTAATAGTGTACAATTTCAGATACGAAGCGCCATAGGAAATTCTCCATGCTTATGGTGTAGATTTTTAGCAGTCAAAAGAAAATTTCCAGGTAATAGTGTACAATTTCATATAAGAAGCGCCATAAGAAATTCTGCATGCTTATAGTGTAGGTTTTTAACCGTCAAAAGAAAAATTCCAGGTAATAGTGTACAATTTCAGATAAGAAGCGCCATAGGAAGTTCTCCATGCTTAAAAAGATTCTCAAATCTCAATTTCTTCTTGAGTTTATTCCGAAATCTCAATTTCTTCTGAGTTTATTGCCACCAAATATGCCGACAATTTTGCCGGCAATGTCTGCAAAAATTAAGGATCAAGGAAAGGAAACCTAATTCTTCTATCATACTGTGCATATGGTAATATTGCAATGACAAGAATATTCATGAGCAGGTACGCACTCCCTTAGAATGCAAGCAAGCAGGAACCAAGTGTATTATCTATTACGTTCCTGCACAATAATTCTAGGAAAGTCAGGAGCAAGAAAGCTCAAATTTCTAGTTAGGTTAAAATCAGAAAACTACAATGAATATGAAATAAATGCTGCATTTAGTCATAATTTAGGGACTACCTTTGATATATCATTGTGACCATAGTTCATGGGGGATTGGTTTCCTACCTGTTGTAGAAATAGAACTAAAGAAATCAATGTTCTGGCCACCCACCACCCTGAACATCTAGTACAAGGAAGTCACAAGGGCCACTAGTTATTAAATGTGAAGCTCAACAGCTTAGGCTATGTTACAAAATTCAAAGTTTTGCTTTCTATTAATTTGAAGCCAGTCGATGGCACACCCAAGGCCACCCGACTTCACATCCGACACCAAGGATAAATGTGACTCCTCTGTACTAAAAGTCATTGGTTGTATTGTATACGTTTCCTCTATGATTCTAACAACTTTGAGGCTTTCTTTAGTTCAATGTGAAGACAACCACTGATTATTCTTATAAAAAAATCATCCAACCTTCTATATATGAAAGACTTGTTTCCTAAAAACCTTTTCTTCCTGACAATCATAAATATTTTACATTTTCTGACTATAGGGCAGCGCTTACCAGCCATTGTGAATCTGTACATTTAATCAATATGAGGCTATAAATGCAAAGACACAATTATTAATAAACAAATCGAGGTTGTAGCTTGATAAGTTTATGTATATTACAAAGTTTGGGAACAATAATATGAAGGGCTATAGAATTTGTCTAATGTAGGTGTAATGCTTACAAACAATTAATGTTTTCCTAGAGGGATCACCCAATTAAATTCATTCAGTTTATCTAAAGCGACCAATGTAAGCTAGGGGAAAAACCTGCTTCCGTGATAAATTATCCATTAAAATTGTAACTAAGATTTTCAAACACTTATTGCAGCTATGCTTGGCCAACAAATAATATCTGTTATGTGTGCAAGACACCGAACCCTAAATGAGAACTGAAGGAAACCCATCATATCCAAGAGGCCATCAATCTCAAATAATTAAAAAGTGATAGAAGTTACTGAACGCTGCAACAGCAGCATATACTGTTCGAACTTTGAAGTCCAGATAGCATAGGAAGAATCCTGTTACCATCCAGTTTGGGAACTGAAGGATTTTAACATGTATGAGATAGCAAGATCGATTGGTGATCTTATAAATATATTTTCACTTAAGTTGAAACTTCTATCCATCAGAAAACAAATTTATACAGGGCCATGGACACTTTGCATTGATAAAATATGGCATGAGCTATAATCAAACTTGGAGGGCATGAGTAACATTGTAAATGATAGATAATCACCTGCCACTAGCATTGACTTATAATAAGTGGAACTTCTTTATACTGTTAGTTAAACATCACACTCCCTTATGATTCATTCTACTAATACAGAGGAACAAATCAATGACATAACATACCAGGTTCATATATCTCTATAGTCGCTAGAGTCCATCAATTGATGTGCCCTGCAAAAAGGCATTATTTGTTCATTTTATATTCCAAGCCAATTCAACTGCACTTTCACCTCCAACTACATTTTTCCAAATCAAGAAGTTAAAAGGACTTTATTTTTGAGAAATTTCATGGAAAAGTCAGACATAACTGACAGAAAGTTACCAAATAGAAGCATCGCCAATACCAAGGCCATTGCAAGTGAGTATCATTCCTTTGAAGCGGCTAAGATATTCCTGAATATGATATAATGGGTCAAATGTAATGCCCATATCAGAAAATCGTGCATATAATATAGTTCAACGGACATGGCCAAACCATGATCCATTGAGGTCCTCGCCATCCACAGAAATGATGGATGGTGATGGAAAGACACCCAATGGGACCAACCTGATGAGGACATAACCCCTTGGTGGATCCCACTCTCTTCATCACCATCCATAATTTCATTGGAAGTTGATGATCCCATTTGGGTATCGGCATACTTTCCCTATGACTCTATCACAGCCATTATTTCATCAATTGGAATATGGCATATATTGAAAGTGGACTAAATGCGAATTAATGCAGCCAAGCAGTACCTGTAAAGTGTATCTGTGAACATCATAATTTCCAGAATGATCATAATCAAGGCGCTTCACTGGATCGCTCAACACTACAAAGTAACCATGATATGCATTTAACCTCTCAAAAATAAAAGCATCTTTTTCCATTTACATATCTATTTAATCTTTGGAACATAAAATCATATCAATCCATTGGCTTGTACATATATATTTAATCCCCCATGGATGGTGACCCAATGCAACCAAATATACAGCATGGTGTATACATACATAACATAACATACATACGTACCACAACACACATACACAGGTACATATGGACACATGTGTGCGTCTACATGTTAAATTACCTTTATAAGCTTCATTAATCTCTTGGAACTTTTCAGTGACAGCATTGTCCCCCTTATGCTTATCAGGGTGCCATTTCTGGGAAGAAAAATGCAAATTAAACAAAAAAATCGGCCTTTCAAGATACATCATGAAGAAAACATGTAAAGAGTATTGACCAAGTGAGAGAGAACTGAAGAAGCCAAAAGAAAGCACAAACCAGGGCAAGTCTTCGATAATTCAGTCTGATTTTCTCATCAGTTGCATCATAGTCAACTTCGAGCACTTTGTAATAGTCCTAAAGCAGATTGAATATAAACAATTGAAACTAAGGCACAAGAACGTCAAAAAAAATTAACACACTCAAAAAAGGAAAATTATGGCAACATGAATGTACTTACCAGTTAGCCACATTTTTTTGATATACAAAAATAAGAATGGGTTCACTAGTAATCAGTTTTTTCTCTCATTGCACTAACAATATGCACCAAATAAAGCTAAGTGGATAAAAATGGCAAGGCCAGATCTTAAATTGGTATAAATATTGGCTTGAAAGTTCTGAAAGAAAAATTCCATTAGCTGAAGGTGTAAGAAAATTCAGAAGACAACGACCCTCCATTGATCCAACTTCCACTCAAATCATGGAAAGAAGAATCTCACAGGGGCTTTTCTGGCTTCCTATCAAAGTGATAACCCTGAGCAGGTCCCAGGAAATATACAAACTGTATAACCAAACATGTACATAAAATCCTCATCACCCCAATATGTGCTTGGACCCCCACACTATAGCTTCTTCTCAAATAAATCCTCTGTGCTAAAACTAACTTACAAGATATAAGCACGAAATCAAAGTTTCTCTAACAGGATTAGAGATGCGAAAACACAAAAGAAGAGTGTTATGCATAAAATAAAAAGGGTAGATGGGGTCACCCTTGCATTGCGATGAAATCCTTCATTAGTCAATACCTATTAATGGTTCCTTTTATAAGGAACTGAATAACATTATAGTGAATAGGAAAAAAAACAGGCCTTATCCTTCCTAGGCCTCCTAAAACTCCAAAAAGAAGCCACAAGAAGAGCAGTTAATAAAATGGAAGAGGTAGGAGTATCCTACCCAACCAACCCCGACTCACTCAACAAAAAAAAAAAAAAGTCTTAAGTGATACAGACACCCACACCCCTTATTGCCTACAGGGTCCTTCACCTTTGCACCAAATAGTTATGCCAAACTGAAAAAGATTTAGGCAATACATTGCACAGATTGCTAATTCACTTAATGTGAAAAATGTCCTTCATAATTTGGAAGCACTCCAAAATTATGTGAGGTGATAGAGATTGAAGTCCACTGGATGCTGCCACTTTGTGGGTGATGCAAAATCAACAAGGATATGGCGTATATAAGTGATCAAAATACAACTGGAAGTGGCATCTTCAGGTTCATTAATTATTTTTAAAACTAGTAACAATAAGGGTTCAAATAATATGGATGAAATATTTGTTATACAACAAAGCATCAAGATAACTCCAGAAGCATAAGGTGCAAGGATTTTGGTGCAATGTGGCTATTCTCTCTTAGCCAATTGTAGCAAATGATATTTCACTAATAGAGCTTTTTCAAAAGTAACTATCAATATCCAAGACTTGTTCCTCAAAAAAAAAGCAGGAGAAACTTACATGTCCTTTGGGAATGCAATAAGGTGACAGATGTAACAATAAATTTCAAACTAGATTAAACACTAGATTACAGAAATGTGAACTCAAAGATCTTCGTCCCTTGTTCTATCTCTGAGATACCTCTTCATGAGTACTTAAGGTCCCAAATTGTTGGGGATTTTAACATGCAAACAAATGATTCCATTGATTTTTAGGAAAGTTGTCAAAATACTCATGTGAGATTTAACTATTTAATATTCTACCCATATTTTTTTTATTTGGTTTCAAAATAGCCATAAAAAGACACATGATAATGAGTTGGAATGATGTCCAAAGTGTAGAATACTAGTCTCATGGGTATTTTGATAAATTTCCCCTGATTTTATTTAATTTAATGAACTAGTAGGGCTCCAGTTAACCCAAGTTTACAAGAAAAGCCTCTTGAATAATCATGGTGACTGTAGTTAGCCCTAAGTCTGGAAGCATGAAGGCAGTTAATCATGCTGAATCTTCCTAGGGGTACCATAAGACAAAAATATTTAGGGGGCGGTGGAATGATCTACTTTTATTGTGACAAATCGGCAATTTGGCATCACTAATCCCATGTGTAAACCCAAAGTTGAGTTGAGTCCAACTTCTTGTGACAAAGCTTCAAGCAGGAATCTAGGTGAATGTCCACAAATTTAAAGGCATGCCTAAATAGCTAGATAAGAATATACAGATTATCATTGTGCAATACTCCAATATTTCACAATATATTTTGAATCATAACTATGTTTCACCTTCACCATCCATCATCAGTTCATTCTAGATAGCATTCATAAAACTCCTATTGTGGCTGACTAATTAGTCCCAAGCTCCTAATATCAAGACCATTACAACACATTCTCTAAAATTATTAGAGTTGAAATAGGCATCATGGGATAAATTCATTCTAGATAGCATTCATAAAACTCCTATTATGGCTGTCTAGTTAGTCCCAAGCTCCTAATATCAAGACCATTACCACACATTTTCTAAAATTATTAGAGTTGAAATAGGCATCATGGGATAAATTTTTTATAAGGTTCTGAAGAATCAAATTATAAGCAACTTGGTTAGATGATGAGTACATTATTACTGTTTAACTCATAAGCTATCATCCACACTGTCTCATCACTGCCCATTTAAATCATTTATTCCACAAAGACACACTAAGCAAGACATATCAACAATGCCCAAGCTATGAATGTTGTGCTTATCAACCAAAACCAAATTAAAAAAAAAGAAAATAAAGAAACACTGAAGCCAAATACAGCATACAAAGCATATGCCTACACACTATGCGCATATATGATAACTTTTTATGGCCAATGCGCATACATATATCTGAGCTTGCATGTATATATAATTTCTAGTTGAATTTCTAGGCTTTCTAGCAAACTCCAATGGTTTCAAAGCAACTTATATGCCCTCTTTAGAGGCTATTTTATACTTCGCCTTCACATTCAACTTTAGAAATTAGAAAAGACCAAAGCATAGAACAAAATTTTCATTTCTCTATATGTCACCTCCAGAGCATCTACAAGTCTATTAATACTTTCATTTTTTCTGTTTTTTGTTTTTTGGATTTTTAAGCATATTCCATAAAGTCCATTCCACCTATTTTTTTCTTAAAAAACTTCCTTTTTCCCTTTCTTAGTTCGCATTGCCTCCATTTCGACGAGCCAAACATGCAAGCACCAAGTTCTTGTCAACATATCTTCAGTACAGTAATACAATTGCTACGTTTCAAGTATCAGAAGCATCACTTTCATTTCTCTTAGCTATGATTACCACAAACAAAACCTGTAAAATATATCTATGGTGTGAGGATTAAAAAGCCAAAACAACATTACAGCTTTCAGAACTTCAGACCAATCACAGCAAATATTTCAATAGTGCATCCTTAACACACTAAAAGCCAAAACCGCTGACCAATTAGGTAAGCTACCCTAGATGAAAGTTTAAATGACCAAAACGAGGAAAACAAGAAAACAGCCAGAGTTTCCATCGAAATTTGGCAAACTACAAATTCAGTCGAATATAAAGGCAAATGCATATCCTACATTTGCAGGACGATGGATTGAGCAAATATTCAAACACATTATTGCAAATCGCTAAACTTGGGGGAAACCATCACAAGTAATCAATTCTTGCTAAAAAAATGCAGAAAAATTGTACACAATTCCTCCCAGAAAAAATCTATCGATACCTTAGAACATAATCAGAGACATGAACTTAAGAAAAAGGAATGAAGATTGGAGTTCTAAATAAAACACTGCAACCCAACTTCTACATGAAAAAAAGACAAATTCGGGCATAGACAATATAAAATTAAACCCGATAAAAATGCAGGTTTTTATAATTTTAACAGGAAAGAAGCAAACTAAAAAAAGTGCAACAATAAACACAAAAAGAATCAAAGAAATGGGAGCCGACCTTTTTGTTATCATCTTTGTCTTCCATCTACTGGAATGCAGTGTGGGAAAGGTTTCAAACCCCAGAGTACATTATTCATTGATCCAACTCTCAGGAAACGAAAGAAGTCCAAGAAAAATAAAGGTCCTCAAAATCATCAAAAACAAGAAAATGGAGAGCCCAAATTTGTGCTCAGTTCAAATTTTCCAAAAAAAACGAGGTCCGTTTAAATCAAAGTAAAACCCCATTTTCAATCAATCAATGGAAGCCAAAAACATTGCATAAAATGGATTTGGATTTCAAATTTGATAATAGTTCAGGAACAATAGGTTCTGGTGTTGAATCGCCCAGTTATTCCAACGTGGTGCTGTTATCCAAAAGGCTTATTTCACACATTTTTAACGAGCGCAAGAAAGTCGAACGCCAAAGTTGTATGCTCCCGCGGGAGCATTGCGGACATTCACTCCCAAGGTTAACATCCTATCTGGGAGCATATTGTAAAATTAGAGCTTAAAATTTTCTTTAGAAGAAATACAATGAGAGACAAAAGTATTCAACAGTTTATTCACTTGAAAGTTGAAACTCATAATCACGTGTCTTTTGATGGATATTTTGAAATTAAACTAAAAAACGTAGACATAATGTTAAATAGTTGATCTTTTATGGTATTTAGTCAAGAAAAAATGTTTTTATAAGGTTACAATCTTATGTAATGGAAGTAATCGTGCACTTTAAAAATCCACTAAAAAAGAGTGTTTCGAAGTTGGAACATCTTCGAATTATTATCTCGACATCAAATGTATGGATAATATATATATGAGTAATGATCCTATAGGACCCTCCTCCACCCATGTGTGTAGGACCCCAAATGATTACCATTAAAATTAGGATGGATCTCTAGAAAAGTTATCACATGAGTGTGAGACTTGACTTTTTTATAAATCCATGTCAAATTTAACGGTGATCCTTTGGGGTCCTACAAACTTGAGTGGAGAAGAGTCCTATAGGATTATTTCTCTCTCTCTCTATTTCTAAGATTTTCAAATATTTATAGATCTATTGGATCTCCATCGAAGTTTTAAATTTCAGAATAATGTTCGAAAATAAATTTTGAAGCATCCTAAAAATTTTGATACTAAAACTATATCTTATGCCAAATTTTAGAGTACAAGGTGGACCTCATAGAAACCTCACCCTTTAGATAAACTATCGCCTTTTTTTAAGATATATGGTGCTCCCGAGCCGGGCCCCATTAAACACTCTAAAGAGGTATTTTAACCGAGAGGGTCATTTTTATAGTATGCTCCAGCAGAAGCATACAATAGAATCTCAAATAAGATCAATAAGAAAAAAACCTTGTTCACATAGTAATTATCCAAAGGGACCCCAAATGTCTATGTGTTCGATGCTACAGATTAGGTCTAAAGTTAATGAAAAGGCATAGGTCACTCCATCTACCGTCAATTGTTAATCCTGGAGGTGTAAATTAATTGAAGGTGATAAATGTTGCGATCAATGCGAGGGAGAAAGGTATTTATGGACGAGATTAGGTCTGATTTGATAAGTGAAGGTGATGCTTTTTACACAACTTGTTATTAACTGGAAAATTATGCAATGCTTGACTAGATAAACACACACACATGTTGACACATTGTCCACAAAATTGGGTGGTTGGGTGTATGCCATCAACTTCGTTCAAATTTGGGAAGCAATTTTCTCGAAATTCGTAACATCCTAAACAATTAAATTTGACATTGATGGGTAGGGTAGATTATGACTTTCTAAGTAAATCATCTCATACTATACAATACCAACTAGAGGGAAAATATAGGATAAGACTATTTGCTTTTGATATAAATAGGTCACAATTACTATCTGGATGTCAAATGTTGACTTGGCTCAATTTTAAGAAATGTTTTTGATATTCATTGTATGCCCCAATCCTTTAAATTTTATATTTTTTAGTAGAGTTGATTGTGTCCTTCTTATACTTGGAGTAAATTGTCTCGTGACATACAATCTCAACTAGAGGAAAAATATAGAATGAGACTATTTGTTTAGAAAAGTGTTGGGTGAGTTGGCTTACTCACACTATTCTTATACAATCTCCCTATAAAATATATAAATATGTATTTTTGATAACAAAATTATTCAAATAGTGGACCACACAGTAATAGGTGAGTTGGCGGACTCACCAAAACAGTGTCCATTTATTTTTGATACATGTCAAATGGGTAGAGTCTGCCATTGACTTGGCTCGGAAATTTTTTTCAAGATTCGTGACATACCCCGAGCCATTAAATTTGGTATCTGATGGGCAGGGTTGATTGTGAGGTCCTTGTACTATAAGACTCAGTGATAGATTAATCCTCCATTCCAAATACCTGAGCTTGAGAAGAGCTTGTCACACCTGATGCCCACCATACGAGATGACATCTAACGGTTGCCTTTGGAAGCTCTGATAGCCCGGTTGTTGCTTGATGACATTCTGCTGATTCCCAGCTTGATTGCCAATTTACCGTTGTGTTTTCGATTTCAGGCTCCCAAATGGGAGATATGATAATGTTGTTGGGTTTATGTGGCCTTTAAAGGCTTTATGATTGCTTGTAAAATGAAATGATATAATGGAACATGAACTCAGTGGGAGTGTGGTCCCTTGTGGACCATACTAAGCAAACGATGTTTGCAGATACCGGATTATGCTTGACGATCTAGGCCAGTCAGTTGGAAAAAACCCATATTACCTGGGCATAAAGAACAAACCGAGAAGGGTTATAATGGGTTAGCCCTTGATGAAGTCGGAGAATATGCCCGGATGAGTAAGCCGAGGGACTGTGTGACCCTTGTGTGTGATGGTGGCCTACAGAGACAGGGGCCAAAACCTCATCCATATACCATCACATGGCATGCATATCGATAGATCGTTCGGGAAAGCCAGAAATCCACCTTTCAGGGGGAAGCGTATGCATGTGCAAGAGATAGCCCTATGCGTCATAGAGCTGTGGTCGCATAAGGTCTTGATGACATTGATTTGTCTCTAGGGGAGGACCTGAAATTCACAGACTGAGATTGTGATTCATTGGCTCATCGGCTAGACTTTGGTGACCCGCTAATGAGCCTCTACTTGGATTGTGGGTCATGAGAAACATTGGGTCGGCCTGATAAAGCAAGTGTGGTCTGTTATCCACAGTTGAAGATGGAGTGCCCTATGATTGTTGATTCTTAAATCATATAGATCATTTTCCTATCAAATTAATTTAATTGTGTTTGTTTTATGATGTAAATTATTTAAATATTATTATTTGAATTTTTATGAACCCCTGGATATTTTATTTATAATTTTTGGATTTAGAAAATTAAAGATATGGATTTTACAATTGTTTAAATATTCAAATAATATTCTAAAATCCTTTTATTAATTTTAAATATATAAAAATATCATGAGGGCCCATTGTGCACATGGGCCTGCCATGTTTTTTTAGAATGTGGGGCCCATGAGTGCGTCTCTGGGGTGACACGCCTCACCCTTATTCTCTGTCCTATAGAAATGGATTGTCTCTACCAAAAAATCTTTATCTTATCTTTCTATCATTGTCTTAAGAAAGTTCATTGTCTTAAGAAAGTTTATCTTTCTCATGTTTGATCTCTCTCCCACATTATGAAGGAATTTAAAAGTTTAGGTTATAGAGTTATTTTCTCCTATCTTTCAAATATGGATTTATAGTTAAGGAGTTTAGGGTTTAGCAAAAAGAGAATTCATCTCTCTCAAACTAGGTTGCTAAGAGAATTCACCTAGGATTTGAGTTTGTGATCAAATGGGCTCATGTTCTATTGGTGTGGCTTGGCCGAAATTTGCTTTCCTGGTTCGAGATTGAAGCTAGATCGTTGATCCAGCTCATCGGATGGTTCGGTGTGGGCTGTAATAAGCCCGGTTGAGGTAATCTCCGGCACTCTTCCTTTTGTTTATTGCACTCTTAGCTTTTATTCTCAAGCATGATGTATAGTTGTTTCAATGACATCAAGTTGTTAAGATCTTGGTTTTATTGTTATGTTGATTTTATTTTGAAATTTATTTTATTATAATAAAGACCATCTGTTGCCAAAAGAAAGGGGTGAAAAAAATAAAAAAAATTTCCCCAAAAAAAATTACATAGATCTTTCTTTCAAATGTCCCTCACATTCCATGGGGAATTGAATATCCGGGTTGATTGACAAACATATCCTCGCTTTATGAAGTGAATTCTTCGTCCTTCCTCACCCTCCAAAGGATCTTACCTGTCATCGCCACATCAATCTTTTTCGGTTAATGCTTCTTTCATATTCACCACAATTTTGCTGCAAAACAAGGCCTCTTGAGATAGCATATTTGATATTAGAGTTAGCTTAAAATAGACCCCAAAGTAAATCCCACAACCCTCTAGCCAGTTTAGATGATTCTAGCCAGTTTAGATGATTCATGTGTGCTTCGTATATTTGATAATGGAGTTAGCTTAAAAATTTTGTGGACATATCCCATCCTTCATAACTAACTTTTGAAAAGCGTTATCTTGCAATGGAACGAAAAATCCTACACCCAAGAAACTAAGAGATGTATACCTCTCATATTGAGGTATGTGGTTCATAGTTTTGGCGTGCTTATCCGTGTTCACTTAACTTTTTAGATACCAAGTAACTAACATATGGGAGTTTACCTGATCTCTGTTGTGACTGAAGTAATTTACAGAACTTTATTATTTTGAAAAAGTTTTATTCATCCCAAAAAGAAAAGTGCTGATCTTTTTGTACGTAATGCATATAATGCCTGCTTGATTGGTGGCCTCGTCAATCTAATTTCATTCTGTCTCCACTTTAATTAGCCAAGCGTGACTAATACTTTATTTATCAGTAAGCTAAAAGCTTTGAGAAAGCAAATGATACTCAGAAAACATTATTTACCTAATTTTGTTAGGTGTTTGATTAGTGTCTGAACACTAAAGACAGTTTTATTTTTTTTGGAGTTTATGATACTCAGAAAACATTATTAGGTGTTTGATTCGTTGCTGAACACTAAAGACAGCTTTATTTTTTTGGAGTTATTTTCTTTGTATGGCCTGATTTAGTGTTTTGTACGTTGTGGACCTTTGGCTTCTATAACAGTTCTATTATCATCCTGTGAGCTTTTTTCTAACTATTTGAGACTGATTATATAAATCCTGGTCTGCCATTCTCTTCCATCAAGGACCATACACTCAATGAGGCCACAAGTTTCTATAGCTTAAAAAGTTCCTAAGCTTCCATCTTCTAAATGATCGTCTACATATCATTCATGTACACAATACACATTCGAAATGTATTAATATGATGATACACAGTACAC